TTCTGTAACTTTAATGAAGTTAGGAGAAACTTTTTTGGTAATAAAAAAGTCTAAGAGATCTGGTATTTTGTTGCAGTCTGTTGGCCAGTAGGTTGGTTTCCCTGTAGAATGATAGACGCACTCTCGCGTAGCTTTCCTTAGTTCGCGGCCTTTGGTGTTAGTCAGTCTTGATCCCCAGTCGACATGTTTAGCGTTGAAATCACCGCCTACTATGAATCTTTCGCCTAGGTACTCTAGGAGTCTCGAGTAATCTGAACACTTTAAATTGTGCTTTGGCGGGCAATATACTGCGCCAATAGCTATTTTCTGTTTGACAGAGTTAAGTACGACCACGGTGAGTTGGATCTCATCAGTTTGAAGAGAACGATCTTCGAAGTGTCGTATGTTGTCCTTTACGATGATAGCGCTACCACCGTTAGGGTTGTTATTAGGATGGATGGTGTGATATATTCGGTAGCCATTTAATTTTAAAAATGACTGTTTAGTTAGGTGGACCCTAAAACTTAAAAAAATATTAATCATGCTCTACACGTAAATAGTAAATTAAGAATAGGATAACAAATCAAATTTTTCATCGCGTTATTTGATTTATCACTTCGTTTTTATAATAAAAAAGTAAATCTAAACGTTAGTTTTTAGTAACGCTTAGTCTTCGTTAACAAAAATTTGATAGAATAAATTTTATTTTTTATAAAATTGATGGCGTGATGTAGGCGGATGGAGATAATTTTGATTTATTAATCATAGAGAGGACACGATCAAAGTGATGTGGTACAAAAAAAAAATATTCAGCCTGTCACCCGTTATTTGATAGAAATTAATCTACGTTAAGTATAGTGTTGCCATTACATGTTCCATTAAAACCCTCGCCATTATCAGAACTCGGCTGATAATCAAGAACTAAGGGCAAGGGTTGGGGTCCCTTAATCTCGTTTTATGACCAATGGCATTCTGAATAATTACTACATCGCCTTCTGTGGATATCTCAAAGGGGTAGGGGTATCGCACCCCTACTTGAGAAGGGTCTTAAAGAGTACTACAAAATTTCCGTATCCGTTCACATCTCCCTCTCCCGAAGGGAGAAGAGGGAATCGATTTTTTTATGGATTTGGACCAAACGGATCTTCTTTGAAGAATTGTCTGTTCCCTCACTCTTGCTACATAATATCGGGTATGTAGTATAAAATGGTGAAAAACGTCAATAATAGATTTTGACTATTGTAACTGGCAAACCAATTATTCTTATTCAGTAGTCGCTTTGTAGGCACTTAACCCTGATCGATTATTCTTCTCTGGACTAAAAACAATATTCTACTTACTTTACGTACAACTTTATAATAAAATAGGTAACACTTAATTAAATCAAAATGTTTTTCCTATGGCGTGAAATGGCGCTTCGTTCGACTAACGATTTCATCATATGCCTCCTTCAACTGTTTTCTCTTTGAAGGAAACAATTTCGAGAAGTTGAATTGTATTTCTCAAACGTCTTTTTCATTTGAAGCAATCGACGGAGATGTGGACAACATTCTGCTCTCGTACAGCATAATTTTTGTAATAATGATGAAACTTTTCAAGTAAGACTTGAAACTCGGCAACTCCAGAAAGATAAGTTAGACGTTATTAAAACAATGTTTACGGTTTAAGAAAAAGTGGTTAGACGCAAGATGGCAAACAAGAAGGGAAAGGAGCAACGAGGGTAGTCACTTTCAAATTCTTCTCTAAAATTTAAAAGAAGCCGAAAGCTAACTCGTTACTTCCTGATCACTACGTGATGCAAATGTTAACAGGCCACGGATATTTCGAAGCATATATTTTTATGTTCAAAAGAGCAATCAGCTTATGCTCTGTGTGCCAGGTGGAAGATGATGTATCACAGAATTTCCATATCGTCAAAAAAAATTCACGTAATTAGTCCGATACATGTCTATTGTATTCTTTATTTATTAGATTTATTATATACACATAGATTACATGCACAATTAACTACCATCCGGGGTAGTGTGATCTACATTATTGTAGGATGGGAATACCCTCCGGCTCCAATTTTGCATTATTTGTTATTTTGGTTGAAAATATCCAATAATAACAATTTTTACTTTCGACTGTCACAATATATTGTTAAGTAAACAGATATATATCGTTGAAAAAGTAATTTGTTTATATATTGTGAATTATACATTGCTTCTTTTATATAAAATATATTTGAATAGGTCGTCCTTAGCGAAGGTTGGGGATGTTGTCAACGAAGAGACCGTCGGACCGGAAGACAAAAGACAAAAGAGAACCCTTTCATACGACACATTCCGCCATGAACAGGTAGACCAGATTGATGAAGAACTGCTTTGGATTTATTTATCTTTCGTTTATGAAGGGTAGGTTACTATTTTATTTCATTACTTTGAGCTGCGTCTATGAGGCGGAAGATGGCGCCTAACATGATAATTATTATATTTTTTATTTTAATTTAATTTAGATATAAAATTTATGTAATATGCTAATTTAAGGTACAAATATTTTATCAATATCAATACTAAGTAAGATAGTACATAATGAGTTATATTATAACTGTCAACGGATTGTACAAATTTTCCAGTTAAAAAGCATAGTTGCTTTCGCACTTTTGAAAAACATCTCATATTGAAACATACAACAAAGTGAATAAACAATTTTTCATTCGTTCGTTTACTGAGTTATGATATGTCTGTAACCGCCACATCTAAATCGAACATCGACAGCCATATTCGCAGCTGATCTTGTTATACTAAGGAGAGACAAAAATGGTCTAATAGATTCGAAATAATTACAAAATCCTACTAATAAAATTGTTAACTGAAATCACAATTGGCAATCCTCAAAAGTCTTGCATTCACCTATCGCAGAAGATTGATGAGTTGGAGGCGAATCAAGTACCTGAAGGTAATAGGAGGCGTCATACTCGATAAAAGATTGACATTTTCAAAACACATAAGCGATCTGATGAAACAACTTTTGGGCGAACCCGTCTTCTAAAGCCCGTTCTTGACAAAAGTTCTTCCTTTTCACTTTTCAACAAACGATTGTTGTACCTATCAGTTCTCCGCCCCATTGGGCAGCATGCGTCACCTTTCCTGGGGTCTGCAAGTGACTCACTATTAAAAAAAGTCAAGCCCACCAAAATTGAGTTGTGCGGTTTGTCAGAACATGCCTTTGTATATTCGTAACCCTAAACATAACGCCAAAATGATCTATATATGTAACTAACGCGATACCCAAATACCATCCTCACTAATGTTGTCCAGTCACTGCCGCAGACATGTGAACCTAGAAGGCTGAAAAGGAGACATCAAGCTGACCTTGCTGTACAAATAAATTTAATTGTTGTTTATAATCAAAAATCCAAGATTCAGAGGACAGCCTCCTCCAGTTAAAACCTCCTCACACGTTTCACGTCAATTAGCGTTAATGCTACTGTGTATATTTTTAATTATTTTACAAACTGTATATAACTAATATTCAATACAGTTATCTATGTTTTAAAAAAATAATGGTCAAGTGGATTGTAAAAGCGCAGATGATTTTAAATACCGCTATTCGACAACATCTACAGGTATTTCAGCGATGCGCGTACTACTTCGAGTAAGGCTCCCAGCATTTTTATCAAGGATGCTTCCAAAGAATTTTCATTAGATTCAACTAGTACAGGAATCAGACTGTTGGACAAAGTCACCTAGCAGGTCTACTGGAGTCAACAGGTTACTACATACAAAATGCCAGTACAAAAAACGGAATTCCCTTTAAATATTGGTCTGAGTACAGATTTCTCGATTCCTTGTGAAGTCACCAGATGCTTAACTTGTGGTAAGATCGGTTTGAGCTGAATAAAGTTAAGCTAAACGTCGTGACCAAATCAGCGAACGAACAACTTCGTTTATGGGATGGGAATCGGTCTTTCACCTCATATATGGCTTCATTGTTGGAAGTAGTGGAAGAAGATGTATTGGAACGTAACATTTTGAATAAAATACTTTGTAAGCGTCGGTTCTGCTAATGGATCGGTATAGCCAGTATCGTATTTCCATTTGTACGAATACATTCTTAATTTTCACTCATAGCAAGGAGCATGTGACGCTTCTGATACTGAGTACTTTGAGTGGTATTAGAAGGCAATGTTTGGAAATGTTCCGGAAGGTGATTCAACGTGACAGATGAGGATTAGTGCAGAGCTAATAAATCTGTAATTGCATTTATTGTATTTAGCGTCAACTTTTCTCGAAACAAGAAATCTGTTTAAATCATGTGTTATAATAGAGATGGCAAAGCTGTTGGGAAACAATGGGTTTGGCCTGCTCCAAGACAAATCCCTGCCAGGACTCCTTCTGCGAAGTAGAGAAGCCCCCAAAGAAACTTTATTCAAGTTTTTTCTATCAATTGTCGTTCTTTCTTCTGCCAATTGTCCTTTTCGTCATTCACATGATCTTCATTTGGATATTTTTCCTGCTCGGGAGCGACCCACTGATTAAAATACCATGGGTCATGTGACAAGATCGATGAGCGTAAATACACCAATATTCTATTATTATTTTATAAACAAATTCGTAGTAATTGGTAAATACCATAGAAAAAATAAAAGTACAACATTTAAATGCTTGCCACCACGTCTTACTAGATTCACTGACGTTGAAAGGCGAAATGCAATCTTTGGAAAAGTTTCCGGGCATTCAATTGGAATAAACGAAAAGGCTGATAAAAGAGGCAGGCACCTTCATCGGTTCGAACAACAAGACGTCGTATACGACGACTAAACGAGATCTGTTCCCAAAATGAAATTCCCACATCTGGCCTTTTGTCAGGACATTATTTAAATGAGAGCCGGCCGATATCATCTCGCCCTCTCCAGGCATCCATCCCCCTTTTCAATCCCTCATCTCCTTCTTTACTGCCTTCCTTTTCGCCGCGATGCCTTTGTCAGAACTGCGGGCCAATTGTCCGCCTCGAACGGCACTCCCAAGATACGAAAATACTTCGGAAATTACACTCAAACCACTCTCGGCTCCCATTCTTTGAGACAATCAGCTTCTCTTTGACTTCTGTTATCCCGATAATACCCTCGTTTTCCTGTTAGATTTTTTCTCCGCAAACACTGTGCAAAAAATTATTTATAAGATTTTCTTAATATAAGCAATAAAACATTCTGATATTAAGCTATATTTCAATTTTAAAATTTATTGAATTTTTTCATTTTAAAATTTCGATTTTTTTACAGGTCCAATCATCATTCAATTCGAAGTACTCACTAGAAGTAACTGTTGGGAATATTTGAATAAATCAATATAATAATAATGTGTTTCATTTTTCTTCTTTACCCAGCAAATATAAATATTATTGTAAATCAATATAAAAGCTCTCAGGATAACCCCAATTCCCTTCATATCGAGATGAACTACGTTGGACAAAGAACCGACCTTTCGATAATATTTCGGAGTAGATTAGGGATGGACCACATCCCTGATCTACATCTGGAAATAACAGTAGTAGGTCGGTAACTACACTCTTATTGATTATCGATATCGATCTTTTGAAGTCTAATTATGAACAGGATTAATCGGGTTTTACGTTGTCACTTGGCAGTTAGTCTTAAATAATCGGTATAACATAACATGTCTTCATGTGAATATCGGGATAGGAAATGAAAGTTAAGAAACAATGTTTAGTTTAAAAAAAAATCTGCACTTATCTCTCACCTACGTACGTCTTCACGAGTACATCAGCAATGGAAGAGTGCTTCATTTTAACCTATAAATTACACAAATACGATAGTTTTGGAAGCTGGTCTCTATTTGAAAACTGCTCCATCATGATGTACATTTTTTTTTAATTCATTTATTTTCGTCTACAATTGTACATGTAATTATACACAACTAGCAGACAATTTGTGGGTGTGACATTACTGGCGTTAGTGAAAGCTGCCCATTTGCAGCCACTCTTGGTTAATAATATGATATTAATCATTTATGAGGTCTCTTATCTACATTCTTTTCAATAGCCTTATAGGTAATTGTGGAGAATGGAGTAATCGAATTTGTGCGATAGTATGATCTTGTAATTTTACTGTAAAAACGTCTGTAACATGTTGCAATGGATGAAAAAACAACAGTCGGCATGAAAATCTCTGTAAAGTGTTCTTGTTTACGTAAAAAGAAGCAGAAACAATTCGTCTTAACATTTTGGATTGAAAACTTTGTAATCTTTTGATATTGGTATGGTATTTAATATTGGCCGATCCATAAGTTTGGCAACCGTACATTAAGTGAGTTTGGGTAGGTATGTGTATGTCAAAATTTTTGAATTTAATGGTAATATTAATTGTTGGTTTAATAGGTAATATCCTAAATAGTTAACTTTGTCGGATTGAGGAGCAGGTTGATTGTATAACTTTGAGGGGTTACTTAATTTTCTAAAGAGTGCTCCATTTTTCAATATGCAGTTTTGTAACATAAGTGAAGCTTATGTAGGAGAGGATGACTTTTTAATATGGCGGTGTATTCTCATTTATGGGCATTTACCAGCCTACTGTACACTGATTAAAGTTTTAAGTTTATCATAGTTGACTGTTTGTAAGTTCAGAAGAAAAACGTAATTTTTTGTTAAATAACTTTTGGCACACTAGTACGATGGACTCAGTCTCTTCTTTGATAATAAAATATTAGTTTAGTTTATTTTGATGTATCTATCTGTTTCTATGGTGATGCTTTGAACTTTCAGTGTTTAATTCATGCAGCATTATAAGTTCAAAGAAGAATAATGCACTACTTTCTCTCTCGTAGGAAGTTGTTTAAGACATTGGTAAAGATGTAAAAAAGATAAAGAAAAGCCGTTTCCATCAATACTCGCGCTCATACTTGGGGTTGATGTGGATACGAGTATAATATACTCCTTCAGGGGCACATCGTGATTTGCTAAAACAAAAGATTAACTTATGAAAAACTTTTTTAATTGATTTAACCCAAATCATAAATATTAATTTGAAATTTAAAAATGATTTAGTTAGCAAAGTAAATTTCGATAAGTGATGAGAAAAAATGAATTAACTTTATTTACAATAACTGTTCCAAGTTTATGACCTTCATTTACGGTGCAGTAACCTGATCATTTTGGAATTTCATCCTATCGCGCTATTGATCGCGAAATAATTTTAAGATCTCTTTGAGAGAAACTCTGGCCAAATAAAATATTATTTTCCACGTGTGTTTTAGTATAGGTTAATTTTCAAAAACTTTATTTTTTAAATAACCCTAAAACAGACAAAATAGAGTCTGATGACCCTTCTGGCCACAAATCCATTTTTTACTTAAATCGCTATTTTTTATAGTTTCGAAAAAATTCAATGAATCTGCGAATAAAAACTAGGTTAAAAAACGGTTCATTTTTTAACTAAAACTGAATTATTGCAATGTTTGAAAATAGATCTTATGCTAAACAAATCACTTTTTAAATTTCTTTTTCTATATTCCAGTAGTTTTCAGAAAACCAGCAAGTTGGCACATATAAAAAGGATTTAATTATTTGAAATTACTGATGACAATTGATAATGAATTATTTTTATGCAGTGATTAGATCTTATCAGGCAGACGGCACAGCGATGGTTTTGTATACCAGCGGTGTTAATGGAATTCATGACTTGGAATACACTATCCTTGTTTGGACGCAGTCGGCAGCCTAAGCTGAACACGCATCAGCACGGAATCTTTGTCGAGTAGTAACTTGGTGGTTTTACAATGAAGCTATTATGTGCAAATACCCGTAAATGTAAAAATAACGTCGAACGAACTGGTTTTGCATTTTTTAAATTAAACTCTTAATTAAAATTTGACGAATTTACCCTTCTCGTTTAAACTTGCAAACAAGCAGACTGCTAACTTTATCAACGTTAATGCATTTTGCAGAACAATTTTAGCGACGAGAAAAGTTCTTCAATTTTTTATTACTACTATTTTAATTCATTTCTATTCATTGAAATTTTATATTGTCATTTCGATCGCTCTTTTTTTCCAAAACTATGTTTTTGAAATATGCGATTGTTATTATTTTTGTTCTTAAAAAAAAATTATTTTTCAAAAATGATTATATTTACAATAACACAATAATATGAACACGTTTGTGATCCCATAATCTTTAAAATTTGAATGATATATTTTTATAAGTTAATTTTCACTCGTATAATAATACAAACAGTCGTGACAGTAATAAATAGTCAAGATTTACTGTCACAAAACTAAAATAATTTAGGTTAATGTTATTTTTATGAAAACTGTTAATAGAATAATCAACCAAGTTGAAAAAAGTTCTGGTGTTCTTTTCACCTGGATAATTTAGAGACCCAAGTCAGCTCAACTATTAACTGTAAACTGTAAACGTAAACTAGAAAAATCACCTACGACAAGAATAACGGCCACTTAAATCGAGAAAATGTTTTTATTATCATGATTTAAAATGATCCAGATCTACAGAGCAGGAAGGTCTCTTGAATTGAACATGTGTTCGATTATTAAAATGTATTCAGATATGTTGACGGGATGAAGGACGTGACTAAGAAGAAATACTGGTCCCATTAAGCCGAAGCGGACGATTCTTTCAAAAGTAATCAATCCAGATTTACCTTTGTATGTCGGTCGAATAAAGCCGTACATGTTGCATCCTGACTGCACAAATAAGAAATGAATAACGATTAGAG